GTGCATAACCCTTTAAGATTGTTTTCCCACTCTACACAATGTCTTGGAGATTCATCCAAGTTGACACATGTATCCTTCCTTTTTATTGAGTAGTATTCTATTGCAAGGATGTTCCCTAGTTTGTCATCTATTCACTCACTGAACGTTGGTTTGTTTCCAGTTTTTGACCATTAACAAATAAAGCTCCCATGAACACCCATGTACAGAATTTTGTGTAAACCTAAGTTTTCATTTTTCTAGTATAAATACTCAGGAGTGTGATTGCTGTGTGATACGATAAGCATACGTTTGTAAGAAACCGTCAAGCTGTTCCAGAGTGGCTGTGCCATTTTATATTCCCCCCAGCAACGTAAGATAATCCAGCAGTCTGCATGCTTGCCAACATCTGGTTCTGTCGGTACCTTTTATTTGAGCCACTTTAATATGTATGCAGCCGTATCTCATTATGGTTTTTTTTTTATTATGGTTTTAATTTGTACTTCTATAATGGTTAATGATGGTGAACATCTTTTCATGTGCTTATTTGTCATTTTATACCTTCTTTGATGAAGTGACTGTTCAAGTCTTTTGCCCATTTTCTTTTTTTTTTTAATAATTTTTTTATTGTTATGTTAACCACCATACATTACATCATTAGTTTTTGATGCAGTGTTCCATGATTCATTGTTTGTGTTTTGCCCATTTTCTAACTGGATTGTTTACTTATTCTTGAGTTTAGAAAGTTCTTTTTTTAAGATTTTATTTATCTGACAGAGAGATAGAGAGACAGCACAAGTAGGCAGAGCAGCAGGCAGAGGGAGAGGGAGAAGCAGACTCCCCACTGAGCAGGGAGCCCAAAGTGGGGCTCGATCCCATCCTGGGATCATGACCTGAGCCAAAGGCAGCCGCTTAACTGACTGAGCCACCCAGGCGCCCCTAGAAGTTCTTGAAATTAAGATAGTAAGAGAACATTTCATAAATTTGTATATTTAGAAAATTTTATTTTAAAGTTTATAAATTTATGCCAATTAATTTTAAAACATATAAAATGAACAAAATTCAAGAAAAATATAGCTTACCAAAAATTGACTGAGAAAAAATAGTTTGAATAGTCTCTTAACCCATAAAGGAATTGAATTAGTAGTGAAATGTCTTTCCACCTTACAAAGCACTAGGCTCAAATGGCGTTTCCAAGTAAGTTTTAATAAACATTCAAGGAACAAGTAATTTCAATCTCATACAAACTCTTCCTGAGAAAAGAAAAATAGGAAACCCTACCTAACTCATTTATGAGGGTAGCCTAATCAAGACATCAAAACCAAACAAAAAGACCATGATAAATTATATACTAAACTTACTCATGAACATAGATTAAAAAATCTTAAATTAAAATATTAGCAAATTTAATCCTGCAGTGAATAAGAAAGTAGCGCACAATGACCACGATGGGTCTACCAAAGGAAGATGAGGTTGATTTAATATCAAGCAATCTATTAGTATAATTCACCACATTAACTGACTAAGGGAGGAAAACTATAGGATCACCTTAACAGACATAAGATATGTTTGATAAAACTCAACATCCATTCATGATAATAATTCTCAGCAAGCCAGCAGAGAAAGAATTTTCTTAAGTGGATAAAAGGCACCTAACATGAGCATTTAACAAAGTTCAACATCTGATTTAAAAAAAAAAACAACAGAAATAGAAGGGAATTTGCATAATCTGATAAAGGACAGCTACCAAAAGCCTCCAGCAAAACCATACTTTAAAGTTTAACATTAAAATCATTTCCTGGGGCACCTGGGTGACTCAGTCAGTTAAGCGACTGCCTTCGGCTCAGGTCACGCATGATCCCAGGGTCCTGGGATTGAGTCCCGCACCAGGCTCCTTGTTCAGAAGGGAGCCTGCTTCTCCCTCTGCCTGACACTCCCCTGCTTGTGTGCTCTCTCTCTCGCTTTCTGAGAAATAAATAAAATCCTTTAAAAAAATTTAAAAAAAATCATTTCCTTTTAAATCAGGAACCAGAAAGAATGCCTGTTACCATAAATTCTACTCAATATTTCTCTGACATCCTAGACTGCAGTAAGATAATAAAATATTAAAGGTTTGAATATTAGAAAACTATAAGTAAAATTGTCATTATCTGTAGATGATATCCTTTCCACCTAGACAACAAAAGAAACTAAAAATAAATAGTATTAAAATTAATAAGAAATTTTAGCAAGATGGCTCAATATAAAATATATAAAAATTACTTGCATTTCTATATATTAGCCACAAATACAAATATAATTTGTTAAAAAGATTTCATTTACAGGATGCTTGGTTTTCTCAGTTGGTAGAGTATGCGACTCTTGATCTTGGGGTTGTGAGCTCAAGCCCCATGTTGCAGGTAGAGTTTATTTAAAAAAATTTTTTCATTTGGGGCACCTGGGTGGCTCAGTTGGTTAGGTGACTGCCTTCGGCTTAGGTCATGATCCCAGGGTCCGGGGATCGAGCCCCACGTCGGGCTCCCTGCTCAGCGAGAAGCCTGCTTCTCCCTCTCCCACCCCCCAACTTGTCTCTCGCTGTCTCTCTCTCTCAATTAAATAAATAAATAATCTTTAAAAAAATTTTTTCATTTACAATACCAACAAAAAACCTAGAATTAAATCATAAAATATATGTAAAATCTTTGTGGGAAAAAATCATAAATCCTTTTGAAACCTTCAGAAAACACAGTATGCCACGTTCACACACATGTACTATGTTCAGGGACAGGAAGCCTATATATCTCAAATTGATCTATAAATTCAATGCACTTCCAATCAATATTCCAGGAGGATATTTGAGGAATGTGACAATATGATTCTAAATTTACCTAGATTCTAAAGGGCCAAGAATAGCCAAGATATTCCTGAAGAAAATAAGATCCTTTTTGGGGGGAGGGAGGTAAATAAACAAATGATATGCAATACAAAGCCCAAAAACAGTCTCATGTGTGTATGGAAATTTGATATATGACACAGGTGACACTGCATATCAATGGGGAAATGGTGTTAAGTGACTATCAAATGGAAAATAAAATTGGATCCCTTCCTCAGACCATGCACAAAAATGAATTCTACATGCATGTGTATGTAAATGTCAAAGGAAAAACTTATGATATTTAGAGGAAATACAAAAGAATATTTTTATAACCTTGGGTAGGAAAGACATTTTATAAAGATACTAAAATATAAAACCCATTAAAGAGAATTATTGGTATGTTTGGCACTTTCAAATAAAACACTGTGCACTGAAAGGCATAATAAAGTAAGTGAAAAAGCAAGTGGCAAAGGGAGAAGATATTTATCATACACACTCCCAACAGAGAATGAATATCCAGAATATATAAAGAACGCTTACAAATGAATAAGAAATAAGAAACAACCAAAGAGAAAAATGGTTAACAGGTATTTCATAGAGGACACACATATGGCCAACCAACATACAAGATGTTCAACCAAAGTAGAAACCAGGGAAAATCAAAACCACAGGATATCATTTTATGCCAACCCAAATGTCAACCATTATAAGTTTGACAATACCAAGAGCTAGTGGTGATGTAGAGCTATATAAATTGGTCCAATTCCTTTGTAAAAAATTTCAGCATTATCTGGTAAACTTGACAATAACAACCCAACAATTCTACTCCTAAGTATAGTCCCTAAACATAAGGAGACATACAAAAATGTTTATAGCAGTATTATTTGCAATAGCAAAGAACTGGAGATGGTCCAAATGTTTCTTGGCTCAAACATGGAAAAATAAATTGTGGTATATAGCTACAGTTAAATACTATACAGAAGTGAAAATTAAGGAACTATAAGCCATACCCATTATCACCGAAGATTACCACTTCAGTCCTTTACAAAATGATGCCTTTTTAATAACGTTCAGCTTTTGCTTTCAAAAAGCTGTTTTCATAGGGTGCCTGGGTGGCTCAGTTGGCTAAGCGACTGCCTTAGGCTCAGGTCATGATCCTGGAGTCCCCGGATCGAGCCCCGTATCGGACTCCCTGCTCAGCAGGGAGTCTGCTTCTCCTTCTGACCCTTCCCCCTCTCATGCTCTCTCTCTCTATCTCATTCTCTCTCTCAAATAAATAAATAAAATCTTAAAAAAAAAAAGGATAGAACAAAAAGCTGTTTTCATGCCTTGGTATGTGTCAGTATTTCAAGTTGTGAGAACAGAACGGGTTGGTGAGGGAAACTGGGCTCTGAGTCACTGGGGAGGAACTTCATTTTGAGTAATACCTGGGACACTTACAAAATAATCAAATAAAATGCACTGGGCACAAACCTACAATGTCAATATGGCACTCCCATGTTTTCCAGGGGCCACTTGCTACTTCCTCCTACCCCCACCTTTCTCATAATCACAGTTGGACTTTTTTTTTTTAAGGCTTCATTTATTTATTTATTTATTTGAGAGAGAGAGAGAATCTGAAACAGACTCCACGCTGAGTGCAGAGTCCGACAGGGGGCTCGATCCCCCGACCACGAGATGATGACCTGAGTTGAAACCAAGAGTCCGACTGAGCCACCCAGGTGCCCCTACAGTTGGACTTCTTGAGGTGATACGTTTGATGAGAAGCAGAATGTCCCTATGGTAGCCCCTGGCACTGAGTTCCTAAGGGCTGGCCAATCTCTGATGGTAACAACCCCTGGACCGCCCAGGTCCTACCTTTCCAACTCCACCTCCCCCTTGTCTCAGATCTCCACCGTGACAGATGGGGCAGCATTCCATTCCAATTCCCCTTCACTCTCTCATCAAAACTCTCAAGTCTGCGCAGGCCTCATCACTCTGTATCAGAGTCCGCACAAGCTGGGACTTCCAGGCCAAAAACATCGACAGTTAAAGTCAGGCCTCAAATGATTTTTTGCACAGTTTCTTACCTACGCAGCCACCCCTAGAGGGGCAGCCCTGCGCCGCCGCGCCCACACCTCGCTAATACGACACACGAGCGCCCGGAAGTGGCGGTCGGGCTGCTACGTCACTGGCTGCGCCCAGTTGGCTGTTGCCGTATAGTTGCTGGGAGGAGGCGGGAGGTGGAGCCGCTGGGGCTAAGATCATGCCAGGCAGCGAGAGGTATTCTGGGCAGCAGAGGCCGCTAGGCTTGGGATGAAAGAAGCAGGGCAGATGCAAAATCTGGAGAGCGCGGGGGCCGGGCGGTCAGTCAGCACCCAGACTGGCAGCATGACTGGTGAGTGCCTCGGACCCTGCTGCTGCCATCCCAGCCTTTCGCTCTGCCCTGAGCCGCTGCCTCCGTGTAACTCCGCTTTCCCTGCTTACCCCTCTTCGCCCGCGCTTCAGCCCGGGGATGTCTCATTCCCGCCCTAGGCGCGTTCTCGCCTCGGTCACCAGGAACCCCTGGCTTGGCAACACCTGCTTTTGAAGTCGCGCTCATTCCCGTTTACCCCCGACCCCTACGCCCCCGCCCTTTACTTTTCCTCCCAGGACCTAGAGCTGGGATCTCAGGTATTGAGCCTGAAAATTCCGTGCTTTTGACTTGATTTCCGAATTAACCACACACGACGCTTTCCTGTATTTCAGCTGCCTTCCCCGCGAAGGTCACCGCACTGCCCTTCTTGCCACACCACAATTTAAAGAAAAGCTTGCTCCACGATAACATCAGACGCAAGGACTTTTCATAACTTCCTTTGGATTATCCCATAGTTAAATGTATCAGTTGTACCATTTTTTTTTTCTCCTTGTCATGTGATGGCTGGAGAAAGGGCCCAACTTTGAAAAGTGCCGGAGGAGGTCGCCGAAAGTGAGATTGGAGCCAGGCTCCTGCCCTTTGATTCTCCCCTTGTCCTCTTACCTTTTTCTCTGCCTCCTACGAAAGCAGCTGAGTTAAGGCTGCAGCACCCAAGTGGCATTGAGCACGAGTTCCTATTTTCATCATTAGTAAAAATTTTAAAGTGTCTGCCCTCTCTTTTGTAGGTCAAATACCAAGGCTTTCTAAAGTCAACCTTTTCACTCTGCTCAGTCTCTGGATGGAGCTCTTCCCAGCAGTAAAAGCCCAAAGACAAAAATCTCAGGTATATTTTGTTTCCTTAGTTTTTCCCACTGAGCCGTGGTTTAAATTTGGTTTTTCCAGTTTCTGTCACATTAAAAGCAAACTCAAAAACCTTAAAATTTGCAAAATACTTCGGTGGTTTAGTGTGATATTTGTAACTCATAGCTGTAATAGCTCATCTTTCTAATCTAAAAATAGAATTGTTACTTTCTCAGACTGTGCATGTTTATCAGGTATTAATGGTATTTATCTGTTGGTTTGGACAATTAGATTGCATAATTTATCACCCAGTTGTATACTATTGATGTTTCATGTGAGTAGTTTTCCCCTTCTCCCACTGAACTGTAAATTACATGGAGATCATGTCTTATTTTACCTTATTTTTATTACTGTGTCTTATTTTACCATGTCTTATTTATACCCCTTTAGCATCTACTCTTGGAATAGGTAATCTGTGAATGCTAATTGGTTTCTTGTTCCGTGTAAATAGTCTCTTTTTTGGATCTAAAAGAGGTGATCAAAACAGGTTAGGAATATATAGAAAGAATAATCATGAAAGCCTACATCTTTACTTTCTCCAACCCTTGGGCAGCAAGGTGCTTACCTTCTCATCTTTTTCCTCCATGGTTGGAGTGGCATGGTGTTAGGTTCTCACCAGTTGGTTTGGTAAATTAGTAAGTTTAGAATGTTTTAGGGGGCCAAAGCCATATAGGGAGAATAGTATTAAGTTGTTTAAGCATTTAAGACATTTTTTGAAGAAGGGAAAGGGGGAAAAATTACCCATGGCTTTTCACCATTCTAACAACATCACTTTTAACATTTTGGTACTTTCCTTCAGTCTTTTCTTAAGCACAGGATTTTTGCTTGTTTTTCTCTTACAAAATTGTACTTGTATTCTGCATATGCTTATGGAAGTTTCCAACTTGCCAATAATTGTGCTGAAAGATTGCTTCACATTTTCCACAAAATTACTTTTTGTAAATCCTTAAACACAACTGTACTCTTATGAGGTCATTCATAACCATTCTCTTTTTCTTTTTTCTTTTTGGCATCTTCGTTATGGTGGATAAGGTTGTGTGCTTGGCATTGGAGATACAAAAAGAGAGATTTGGTTCTTATTTTCTAAATGGAGACAAAAGTTAGGTATTTAAACAAGATGCAATAAGCAGAGATGCTACCAAGACTGAAGACTGCAAACCAGGTTCTGCATGGGGAAGTGAGGGAAGGATGCACAGGGGAGGCTCCGTTTGCACTGAGACATGAAGAATGAGTAGATATTTACCAAGCCAAGGGACTCCATATGGAAAAGCTTGAAGGAGTGAGAGAACTTGTGGTCCTCATGGGGGCAGGTGAAGTTGGGTGAAGGGAAGAGACTGAAGATGAGCTTGGAAAGGTGTACAGGAATCAGAAAATAAAAAATATTGTATGCCTTGCAAGAGAGTTTAGATTTTATAAGTAGGGACTACACTGACGAATTTTAACAGGGAATTAAGGAATTAACTTTTTAATAATTAGAACTTTATCTTTTTAAAGCACTTATAGGTTCACAGCAAAATTTCTGGGAAAGTACACAGATTTCCTGTATACTCCCTGCTCCCCCCTACATGAATAGCCTCCACCATTAACCACATCCTCTCCAGAGTGGTACATTTGCTACCGTTGATGAACCTGCATTGACACCTCATGATCACCCAAAGACTATAGTTTACATTATAGTTCAGTCTTGGTGCTGTACATACTGTGTACCTCAAATGTATAATGACGTGTATCCATCATTATGGTATCATACAGAATATTTTCATTGCCCTAAAAATTCTCTGTGATTCACCTATTTATTTTTCCCCCACCACCCCCAACCATGGCATCCACTGATTTTTTTTTTTGACTGTCTCCATAATTTTGCCTTTCCCCAGAACATCATATAGTTGGAATCATACAGTAGTATGTAGCCTTTTAGGGTTGGTTTCTCTCACTTAGCAATATGCATTTAAGGTTCTTCCATGTCCTTTCATGGCTTGATCACTCACTTCTTTTCAGGGCTGAGTAAGATCCATTGCCTGGATATACCACACATAATTTATCCATTCACCTGCTGAATGATATCTTGGTTGCTCCCAAATTATTGCAATTATGAATGAAGCTGCTATAAATATCTGTATGCAGATTGTTGTGTGGACGTGAGTTTTCAACTCCTTTGGGTAAATACCAAGGAGCATGATTGCTGGATTGTATGATGAAGAGTATATTTAGTTTTGCGTGAAACTACCAAACTGTCTGTACCGTTTTGCATTCCCACCAGCAATGAATGGAGTTCCTGTTGCTTCACACCCTCTCCAGTATTTGGTGTTGTCAGTGTTCTGGATTTAGGGCATTCTTATAGTCATGTAGTGGTATCTCGTTTTAATTTGCATTTCTCTCATGACCTGTGATGTGCAGCATTTTTTCATATGCTAATTGGTCAACTGTATATCTTCTTTGGTGAGGTTTCTGTTAAGGTCTTTGGCCCATATTTTAGCCAGGTTATTTTCTTATTGTTAAGTTTTAAGAGCTTTGTATATTTTGGATAACAGTCTTATATCAGATGTGTCTTTGCAAACATTTTCTCCCAGTCTTGCTGCTTGTCTTCTCATTCTCTTGACAGTATCTTAGAGAAGTTTTCCAATTTTAATAAAGTCCAGTTTATCACTGATTTCTTTCGTGGATCGTTCCTTTGTGTATCTAAAATGCCATCGCCATACTGAGTGTTATCTAGGTTTTCTCCTATGTAATTTTTTGTGGAGTTTTTTAGCTTCACGTTTTACATTTGGGTCTATGATTCATTTTGAGTTGATTTTTGTGAAGGGTGTAAAGTCTTTGTGTATATAGAGAATTCACTTTTCCTGATAAAATGATATCTCTTGGGGTAGTTTTCTTCTTCAGCTACTATGTGAAATATTTAATAAATAGTAAAACATTATTTAAAATGTTTTGCATTTTTACGCCCTGTTAATCACTCCCTCAACCCCCACCCTGGCTCCATCTATTATTAATGGCTTGAGAAAGTCTTCATTTCCTTCATGATTTTGAAGTCTTTTATTCTTTCTGCCTCTTAGTAGCTTAATATTATTTTATGAAAGTGGAAGATTTTCAAACTTTTTGGGTTTTTTGGTTTGTTTTTGTTTTTTTGCAGATAAAATTGTCTTGAAGAGACAGATTAGAAGCAAATGCTTAGAAATTTAAGACTTTTTATTTTTTTAGAAGATTTTATTTATTTATTAGAGAGAGAGTACACATGCATGTGACAGTGGGGGTGGTGCATAGGGAGAGGGAGAGAGAGAATCTCAAGCAGACTCCCCACTGAGCATGGAGCCGGTCACATGGCTCTACACAGGGTGGACGTGAGGCTCGATCTCACCTGAGATCATGATCCTGAGATCATGACCTCAGCCGAAATCAAGAGTCAGTTGCTTAATTGACTGAGCCACCCAGGTGCCCCGAGATTGAAGACTTTTTAAAAGCACATTTAAAAAGCTGGGCTTCTTAGAGATTGAGTACTAATTTTGAAGACACTTTTTTTTTTAATATGAAGATTTGATCTCATTTTAATTCACATATATATACACACTTATATATTTAGATATTTAAATGTGTGTGTGTGTATATATATGTGTATATATTTATATATCAAGAATAAATCCTCTGCTGATATTAAGTTCTTTTTCAACAGGCATGTGTATTAAATTAAATAAATTCAGTATTAATTACACATTATGTTCAGAGGGTTGAGTAAGATCTTTTTCCTTTTAAGAGAAGAAAAATGTTCTTTAAGCTAAAATATTAAGTTTGTTTCACTTAAATTCTTTATTCTGCTTTTGCTATACGAAGTAAGTCACAGAAACTCTTAAGATGCAATTTGACATGTAATCATATTGGAAATACTGCCTTTGACACTTTACCAATCTTTTGTCTTAAAACATTTTTATTTGTTACCAAACTAATGTATGTCTATTATTTATAAAATGGACTGAAGAAAAAATTTTTTTTCACAATTTCACTATCTAGCGACTACTGACATTGTTGTACTGTTTCTCAATCTTTTCTCTCTCTCTCTCTCTGAGTTATTTGAGATCATTTACATCTGGATCTAGCCTTTTTCACTTAACATAAGAAAAAGCTTATGCTGTAATATTATTATACACATTGGAGCAGCAACTTAGTCTAATGGTTTAAGAGTAGTCAGTGGTTTTGGAGTTAGCCTGCTTGGGTTCAAATCTGGACTCCACCTCTTACTGTTGTGTAATCTTGAGTAAGTTACTTTCCCTCTCTCAACTTCCTCATCCATAAAATGGAATGTTACTGGTACATACTACAGGAGGCTTTTATGAAAAGTGGTTGAGTTAGTATTTGTAAAGCTCTTAGATAGTGCGTGGCACAAACTATGTACTATATGTGTTTGTTATTATCATTTTAATGTTGGCATAACAGTCCATTGTATTGATGTACCATGTGTATTCCCTTAGCACTGGACATTTAGATTGTCATTCATTTTACCCACCTCAGTGTATTTTATTTTATCTTATTTTTTAAGATTTTATTTATTCACTTGAGACACAGACATACAGAGAGAGAGAGAGAGCATGAGCAGAGAGAGAGGCAGAGGGAGAGGGAGAAGCAGGCACCCCGCTGAGCCAGGGGCCTGATGTGGGGCTGATCCCAGGACCCTGGGATCATGACCTGAGCCGAAGGCAGAGACTTAACCATCTGAGCCACCCAGGCGCCTCCTCAGTGTATTTTAACTTACAGCCACTTCTAAATATGACTGAGATCTGAGATTTTCTGTGTTGTCAAATATTTACACTGTATGGATGCTCTTTGAAGATTGTTCAGCAAAGTTTACATTAAGTATAAAATCCAAGCATTTTTAAGAATCCAGCCCAAAACTAGATAAATGAGTGGGAGAGAAACTAATTGTTTATGAGACTTGGGAAAAGCACAGTTAACTAAAAGTTTCAGAATAGAAGTCGGCACTACTAAAAATGGCCATCGTTTTAAAATAATAATCTCTCCTATTGGTTCATAGTTTTTAGTTAAGTTAAACATATCAAAATTGCCTGAATGGTACTGTAGTATAAGAATTAGAATAAGTGTATTGTTGCCTCGTTTTTTACACATCATGTACTGTCCCTCTCTCCCAATTCTTCCCACTGTGTACTCACTGTACTTTTCCAGAACAGTAGCAGGGTAGCATGATGGTTAAGATGATGGACTTGGGGCTCAGGTCCTGGCTTTCCCATTGACTGCTATGCAGTTATTTAATCTCTCTCAGCCACAATGTCTTCATTTCTAAAATGGAAACGATAGGGGCTACTTTGTAAAGTTCTGAGGCTTAAATGAGATAGTTTCGAGCCTGGTGCTTGGGAAACACTCTGAGGTACTTTATCATTATCACTCCTAGCGTCCTCACCACCACTACTACCATCTCACTCCCACCATCCACTCCCAGCGTCATCACTTCTTCCACTTCCTGTTCTGCTGGAATAGAAACGTGATTCCCAGGACATGGCTTTTCTTGTAAACTTTTTAGAGGTTGTTCCTTTTCTAGCATCCAGCATTTGTTTCATAATACTGAAAGTTCAATATTCACCAAGTTTACCATTCCCACTTTGGGGAAACTTTCTCCAATTTATTACATAGCCCACCTACCTTGGGGCTCCCAGAAGCCTGCTGTATCATTCTGTCTTAATTATCTGCTCACTTCGTAGTCATTTTCCTGTGTCATAAGCTCGATAAGGGCTGCATCCTGAGCAACTAGGTCTCTGGCTGACACATGGCAAGCATTCAGTAAATATTTGTGGAATCAATAAATGAGGGAATCTTGCCCTGGCTCAAAACTTTCTACTTCAAGTTTTACTTTTAGAAGAGACTCGTGGACTTCCATGCGTTAGTGTCCTCTTGCTTCTGTAACAAATTACCATGAAGTCGGTGGCTTAAAGCACATATTATATGCAGTTACTGTCCTACAGTTCTGGAAGTCAGAACCCTGAAATGGGTCTCACTGGACTAAAATCAGAGTGTCAGCAGGGCTGTTTTCCTTCTGGAGGCTCGGGGCAGATTCCATTTCCTTGCCTTTTCCAGTTTCTTGACGCTGCCCACTTGCCTTGGACAAGGCTCTTCCTCCATCTTTGGAGCCAGCAGTGGCAGACTGAGTCTCGTGTTGCATCACACTGGCACTGATTTGCCTCTCTTTCACTTATAAGGACCTTTGTAATTACACTGGGTCCATCTCAAGGCCAGATGATTAGCAGACTTAATTCCATTTACAATCTTGCCATAGTAACATAGTAACATAACAGTCTCCAGGGAGTGAGACAGGCAAGTCTTTGGGGGACCACTATTCTGCCTACCACAATCCATATCTACAGATAGTTCCTTATCTTCCCAATTCCAATTAATTTACCCCTACCCCCCTTTAGCCCTTTTTAGCTATGGCCACACTCTGGACTGCTCCTTAAAACTGCCCAACTCCAAAATCTTAAACTACAGAATTTTCTTTTCTGACCACAACTTTCAGTCCTTTTGTATTTTGCAAAAGTATGTAGGGGCCTGATTTTGCAAAAGTAGGGGCCTTATTTATTAGGTTAAATAGTCTGAACTTGAACCTGAACAAAGCGTGAAGTCAATGCAGACTTTCATCAGGGAAAAAAAAAATGAATGATCCAAAGCCAAGAAAACCAGGCTTCAAATAGGAAATATTGAGTTAATTCTATGTTTTGTGCACTAATCTTTTTTTCCCCTTAATCCGCTTTTAATTAGGAAAAGGAAGAGGGAAAGCATGGACCCTTAGGAGATAATGAAGAGATGGCCAGGACATCTACTGACAAAAAACAGGTGAATTTTTATGATTTTTAAAAAGTCGTGTTTGTAATAACAAAGCAAAATCAATGGTATAAAGTAGACTAAAAGTCCTTCTTATACTCAAGTTTCCCATTTCCACTTCCAAGGCAGGTTCTTATATACCCTTCCTATCCTTCTAAAAGTTTTCTATGTATTTACAAGACTATACATGTCTCTCCTCTAAAAAACAAAACAAACCCAGATTATAATATGCTCCTACATCTTTTTTTTTTTTTTTTAACTTTCAGAGTTAACTCTTGATACATTTCCATATTAGTTTGCATAAATGTGTTGAAAAACACTCTTACACGGTTCTCTCGTACTCCAGCACATCCTGCTGGTTTGAAGAATGCAAGGCCCTAACTGTTCTTTATCTAGGCCATTTCTCAGAGTTGTGTTTGCAGCAAGCAACCTTGAGGGTTGAGCTAATGTCTCCCTCTGGGACAGAAAGGAGGTTTGCTTACTGTCTATGATAAAATAGCAATCCCCAGGCTTGGTGTTCCTTTCCTATAACACAACCCACTTCCTGTCCAGGAATCCATCTGGGCCATCTGCATGACACCCGTGGTACTTGTGGGCAAGGGAAACATCACAAACATGGTACTCATACTGCTTGCTGGGCTGTGAATGATCAAGTAGTCTGAGCCCGGAGGTTCATGTGTTCTGTCAGCATCCATGCAACCGTAGCAGGCTAATTTACTAGCTTGTAAGAAGGGTAAAATCAAACCCAGACCTGATAAGATGAACTTTGTTCTTTTTAATATTGCACAGAATTTCCTTGTTATTTTAATCTTTTGAGTTTTCCAGAGAGATTCTGATTTATTGGGTGTCTAGTGGAGACAAAACATGTATATTTTGAAAAAATTTACCTTCGTGATTCTGATGTGCATTCTTGGAGATCTCCTGATAAGTTCTGAGAGTGAGTCTCTAAAATGCCCAACAAGAATATAGAAATAATTTGTCTCCGAATATTTAGATGTTTTTAATTCTAGGAAAGGCGAAGGCAAAAAAATAGTGACTCACCACTTAATATACTAATTTGTTTACCGAAACGCAGACTGTCCTCTTTTGCTTACATTTTACTGTAAATCCCTGTGCCTAAGATAATACAGAGGGCTTTCCAAGATGTTAGTGAAGTGAAGCAGTCGGGACCCAGAACAGTGATTCACTAAAAAGATTTAGTCTCCTGGGAGTTGCAGTCAGTGGAAGTGCAAAATGGAATGGAACTTAGGCTTTTATTTGCTTTGTTTTAAGTTTGGGATGGAAAAATCTTTGTCTCAAACTTGACATTTTGGCCTTAGCTAAAAACAAATGAAAGATAAAAGATATTTTCTGAGGTGAAGAGGACTCTAGACAAAAAAGTGATAAATTAAACTTAGCCTAAAAGGTTGTTTGTTTTTTGTTGTTGTTTGTTTGTTTTGTGTCTGCACCTGTGCTGAGGGGCAAGGGAGGGGTAAAAGATTGTTCTGATAATAAATTGATGAGTATGCTTCCCGCTTATTAGGAATAGTTTTGGGTCTTCGGAGGTTTTTTTAGGAATAGCTTTTTTTTTTTAAGATTTTATTTATTTATTTGACAGAGAGAGGGCACAAGCAGGGGAAGCTGCAGAGGGAGAAAGAGAAGCAGACCCCCTCCTGAGTGGGGAGCCCAAGGCGGGACTTGATCCCAGGACCCCCGGGATCATGACCTCAGCCAAGGGCAGATGCTTAACCCACTGAGCCACCAGGCACCCTAGGAATAGTTTTTTTAAAAGTCTTTTGTGGCGGGCACCTGGGTGGCTCAGATGGTTAGGCGTCTGCCTTCAGCTCAGGTCATGATCCCAGAATCCTGGGATCGAGTCCCACATCGGTCTCCTTGCTCGGCAGGGAGCCTGCTTCTCCCTCTCCCTCTGCCTGCCACTCCCCTTGCTTGTGCTCTCTCACTCTCTCTGTCAAATAAATAAATAAAATCTTTAAAAAAATAAAAATAAAAAAAAAAGTCTTTTGTGGCCACAGTTTCTGGCTTTTTTTCTGTCTGCTTAACTACTGAGAAAATCTAAAGCTAAAATCATTTAATTGCAGCCATTTTCGTTTGTCACAATTGGTTCATTTTATTTTATTATTTTATTTTACTTTTTTTTTTAAAGATTTTATTTATTTATTTGAGAGAGAGAGAATGAAATAGAGAGAGAGAGCATGAGAGGGTCAGAGGGAGAAGCAGACTTCCTGCTCAGCAGGGAGCCCAATGCGGGACTCTATCTCGGGACTCCAAGATCATGACCTAAGCCGCAGTCGCTTAACCAACTGAGCCACCCAGGCGCCCCTATTTTACTTTAGTTTTAAACATTTTATTTTTTTAAAGTAATGTCTACACCCAACGTGGGGCTTGAATCCACAACCCCAAGATCAAGAGTTGCATGCTCCACCAAAAGAGCCAGCCAGGTGCCCCACAGTTGGTTCATTTTAATAAAATGAGCTCTAGCATGCTGGGATCTCTTGATAAGGCATGATCAATTCTTTTCCAAAGTTATAATTTAAAAAGAAAAACTCACTGGAACTATTCAGAAGTAGATACTAACATATACTTTGTATTTGGGGAACATAAAACTCTTAAGAAATTTTGGGATGGGAAGGGGAAAGGGCTTATAAATTCACGGTAAATTTAAAGCTTGTTTTAAAAGCCAATATAGATCTTTCATGTTTTAGATATATTTTTGGAAGTATAGTTTGTAAAGGAAAGATTTTTTGTATTCCTTTTAAATGTCCTTCTAGTTTAGGAAATGGTTGGTTAACTCAGAAAAGGAATTCTATAAAATTTATTCTGTCGTTTTAGGCATTTTACAAAATATCATTCTCCATAGTTGCAAACATTTATACTCATAACTGAAACTGAAACTTGACTGTTTTAGTTAATATAGCTCTGGTCTGATCTTTAAAATAATTTCAAGATGTGTCCTATTGGGGATAACTATAGAATAAAATCCCTTTGAAAGGGAGTAGGGAATAACAGGTACCCTATTCTCAACCCAAGTTCTCCACATACTGTAACAATGAGTCCCAAACCCAAAGATTGGGTTTACATTCCTTACCTCAGAGCCCTTTCCTGTGAAAACGGCATAGACTACGTTGTGCCTTACATAGAACTGATTTTTAACTTAGTCTATTTTATCTGATACTAATATTGTCACACCAACTTTTTCGATTAGTATCTGTGTAAGTTAGGACACTTTAGGTTTAAAGTAACACCTCTTTAGAATCCCAGCCCGTCCCCAGTCTCCAGGGCTTAGAAGCAGAGTCAGCCCCCTACCTATGGGTGGGATACTGCTGAGGTAGCTCAGGCTTACTGCTCTGGCTTTGAGTTCTCTTCATTTTTAACACCTGAACAGATGTCTTCTTTTGAGCTTGACTATGCATTTAAAACTTTTTTTTTTTTTGTAAATCTATTTGTGGGAGGTGGGACCTACCTACGTTAGTCTAGACTGCCATGGTGCGAAAAATTGGGAGAGCCAATTTTTAGAAAGAAGTTGAGAATTATCTTTATTTAGTCAGTATTTAAAATATTTTAAAATTTAAGATGACCTCTGCTTTAGTTCTGCCTTTTACCATTTGTGGGGTCTTTCAGAAGGTCACATGATCTCTTTGGACTTCACTTATCCATGTATAAAACCAGAGGATTTTCTACCTCTTTCATTATTACCACGTAGAAGCTTAATACTAAATAGTTACAGACTGGATGCTGTAAGAAACAAGTCAAATCAACTTGGTTCTCGCCCTTTCCTAGGTTAAAGTGTATTTATTTTTCATTCGGACAAATTAATGGATAATTAAATGCTTCACTGTTCAGTTAAGAATGCCTAGATTTAGAAAATTTCTGGTATAAAGCCAACGTTAAACTTTCAGAAAAGTTTTTGGACTTAATGAGAAATGTGCTTTTGTTCAAACTATGTTCAGATAAAGAACTATATAAAATTTTTCATTTTATTAATAAATCAAGTATAATCTATGATACAAATCATTAGATATGTTAAAAAACAAAGTTCAACTGAGTAAATTTAAAGATCTGATTGCTTTATTCAAAGATTCATGAATCAGGCAGCATCCCATCTAGTAAATAGGAGCTCTGAATCACTGCAAAAAAGGGAGACTTCTACAGGCAGAAGGGGTGGGAAAAGGAAGTGTCTAGCAAAAAGTGGATTGTTTCAGGCAAGGTTACCTTCCTTTGTGGGACTGCAGGAGTTTATCAGGTGGGTTGCCTCACTAACTGACTAGGAAATTCCAGTCTGACTGGTTAAGATTATATTCCTGGGAGAGGCCAAAACCTCAGTTAGGTTAGGCATTAAGTCTCAGTCTGATGATGTGGGCTTAGCATGAGTGACTCCATATGAGGCCTGTTGTCGGTTGCCCCGACCCCTACGCCTGAGAGATGTGATCAAAACTTAAGGCATTAGCCCCACCCCTGGTTGTTGCTCTGAAAATTCTTACAGTTTTGCTGATCCTCTGTGGTGTTATTCACAGGTCATGAGTTTTGGTTTTGTTTTTGGTGTTTTTTTCCTGAATCTTTGTGGTATTCACAGACCATGACTTCAGGTTCATATTTTTAAAGCCAGTCATTCTCTTCATTCCTTTTTTGATGTTCCAGTCTTAGGGAGATGATTTGTTTGGTGGTTAGTGGCTGCAAACACACATTTAAAGCTGTATTTGAGAGAATACAGCATGCCAGAGAGACCACTAGGATTATTACAAGCAGGGTCATAATCCCCAATATCTAGAGTGCATTTGGAGCTGTGGTCCCAACACCCAAACCAATCAAAATTAAATAAGTTAAAGGAAGACCCTGCTGAAGGAGTCACTTTCTTGAGCCAAGTTGCTCGTTCAGTGGTTTTATAGCTGAGTTTCAACTTTCCCACAAGTGTTAATCCATGTGCAGCAAGTGGTGTTGGTCACAGCACAGACATCTCCTTGTTCAGCCAAAAAATAATCAAGGGCCATCCTGTTACAGAGAAAACTTTGGTTAGA